CATCCAAAAAGACTAACAAAACTTTTTAAATCCCACCTTAGTTCACTTCAATTATTTGGTCTTTTCATTAGGATGATTAACTCATACGGACACCTGTCTCTCAGGGGGAGATGTCTTTTATTCCTATAACAGATTGCTATTTTGAGCCTGTATGTTGCATGTAACATGTCTTTGTGTTCCATTTGAGAGACCCTTTGGCAAGACCATGTGGTCATAGGAAATGTTGCTACTATGATGATGGTGCCACCACGTGTCCAGTGCCATTTTGCCACTCCCTAGGGATAAGACGCCATCTTACCATCCTCTAGGAAAAGTACAACTAACTTGTGGCTAAAATTCTCTAAATTAATGTAATTTTTATACAAGTTTTTGATACATCAATCTGTTAAAGATTGGACAAAGAATAGAGTATTTGTGTTAAACATCTATTATAAACTACTTAGGAATCTAGCTGACTAAAGACAAAAATTGATTTAAGAGTGCACTCTGAATTAATGTGATTGTTTTATGTGTCATTGTGTGTTTTTTGTGTATGTCTTAGTCTGTCTCCTACCTATGTTCTTGTGGCCACTAAATTTTTGAGCTCTCTGAGTGCTTATAATTTTTGGCATGCCTCGGTTAAAACATCTGTGTGTGTGTGTGTGTGTGTTTGTGTAGATGTCTTTAGGATGTTTCTTAAGCTGCTTTTATAAAGTTAATGTGTGCAATTGTCTCAAAAGTTATCTAAAGCTTTATAACTGTTGTTTGCTGACACTTTACAACAATTTAAAGGTCTTAGTACATTCCCTATGGGACAGACAATTAGATTTAAATAAGCCTAGCCTAAGAACCATTTTTAATAAATCTCTTTATTACTTAATTTGGCCAAAAAAGGTTGCATTGGCACTGACTTCTGCTCTGTTCGATGTGTTACTTCCCTTCCTCTATGGGACAAAATCTGACTTTCTGGGAGAAGTCACTCCTGTTCCAATGGACAAAACTACCAAATTGGCACAATCTTCAGTGATGATTGTTCAGAGGAACAGTTTAAGAGGATGTGACTCCTAAATGGTCAGTGTCCCCCAACTTCTTAGAGGAACAAGTGGCATTCAGCCACCTGACAGTTCAAAAGGACTACACAAATGAGGGGACTTCTCCAGATCTAGATGGAGTCAATTATGCCAGACCTCTAAAAATAACAAAGCCAAGAGATTTTAAAAAGGGGCTCTTACACATGTGCTCTAATATTTAAGCCTTCGAGGCTTCTGGAAAAAGGCAAACTCATGTCTTTGGCCAATGCCTTCTGTCTAAACAAAGGCAATACAACTTTCAATGGTGTCTAACTTCTGCTTAGGGACACCGTGAGTCTTCTTTCTGTACAGAACTGACTCATGGATGTTTACCCTCTATTGGACTGGCACCTGCCCCCTGGTACAACTGGCCCCTAATGCTGCCCATGATAGTGGCAGTCCAAATAGAGGGCAATCTAAAGGTTAGCCACAGATATAATCACTTATAGACAAAGTAACCATAAAAGTCTCTGTCACTTCTCAAAATGAAAAGTTAGATTCTTTATCCTTCCTGCTACACCTGGCAGGGCCCCTTCTGATGCTCCTATCATGGTTAATGTTCACGTCATGCCTTCTAAATCAGATTTATCTCTTCCAGAATGAAAGCCTTTAGGACCCAAATCATGAGGCAATAGGGCTATCGATCTCTGCAGGCGAACAAGATCTCCATGAGGAACCTTGACTGTGCTGAACAATAATTCGGACACTTTGTGTCCAAATGAGCCCCTAGGGAAAGAAATAGAGACAATTTCCTGTTGTAGGTAGGGTCTGCTGCCCCTTGTCAGCTTGAAGCAGATACTGAAGACGTACCGCCCCCCCCCCCTTCAGCAACCTCAAAAAGAGAATTTTTCGGAATATTGTCTCTCGGGGAATTTGAGGCAGGCTAAATTAGGGAAAGCACAGGACTCATAAAAAAATACTACATCTTAAATTAACAATGCATTGGCTCAGGGACCACCCTCACCTGGCCAGGAACTGCTCATGTCCCTCTCCACTTATTGATTATTGGATGAGAATCACCTTGTTCTCCCCTTCTCATAGGTTATCGTAGGTTTTAAAAGCACCTGAAGAGCAGAAACGTGCTCTTGGCTTCCAGCTTCTACCAGGCCTCCCTTTGTATTTCTCTTCCCTAACTTTTAATAAATTCCATTTATGTCCACGTGTCCTGCCATGGATTCTTCCTGGTGGGAATAAAGAATTTGTAAGTCTTCTGATCACAGACTGAACCAGTGCCATTAACAATATCCTTTCATTTGTAAATATTATCTATGAAAGACAAGTATTCTTTTTTAAAATACCACTGTATCAGTCAGGATTCAGTTGGAAGCCAGAAACTGTTAGCTAGGTAGCTAGGTTGACATAAATAGAAGTGAGGAAATGCCCCAGGCTACAGGATTCCATTCTCTTTGCAGAGGTGGAATTATGAAACACCAGATGGCCCATCTAGACCAATAATTATGGTAACAGCCTTACATCCTCCTTATCTAGCACACTCCCCATATCAAGACTGTACATGTGTATTGAGCGATGTAATGACTGCAATATAACCTTCCACTGGATTTGATAAATTGAAGCCAGTGAATTCCCACACTTGGGCAGCCACTGTGCAGTTGTCAAACATTTGAGGAGGGTCACAAGGGGAGAGCTTGTGTAACCTTGCCCTATTGGATAATAAAGCCCCAAGATCCAACAACTCTGGGGCATTTGGCCCTTATCCAAACTGCCTGCCTCACATCTTGAGGTACACTTGCTGTCTTCCCACTCTTTGTGTCGTTGTTGTTGTGTGTGAGTGGAGGGGCAGCATCTTAATCTTAGACATTATACCCAAAGAACCAAGGAACACCCCATCCACTGGTCACAAAACTACACCATATATTTTAACAGAGAGAATTTGATATAAATAATTGTCAGCTATGCATAAATAGAAATGAAAAAGCAAAGGGAAAACACTAAGGAATCAGAAGTAGCAAATGCAGAAATAGCTGCCAATCCTGTAACTAGGGGAACAAAAAGATGATGGAATCATCAAAACCTAAAACAGAAGAGCCTTCAGAGTAGAAACTCAGACCTGTGAGGAGGGACTCTGCTTGGCTGGTTTTGGCATCTGAGGAGGGTGCTCTTGAGGATGGTACGGAGAATGTTGGAAAAATTGCAGCATGAAATTAATTGTTATTGAAACAAACTACCACTGCTGTGTTGAGAAAGGGTTAGTAAGGTGATGCTGACCAGAGCAGGAAACAAAAACAAGAGCAGGAGGCACAGGGAAGAAGCAATCTTTGGCTCTGTTCCAGTTTCCCTCTACTATCCCTTCTGGGCAGATTCTTACAGGGCACTTTCTGATTTGCAGAGCTTCAGGCCCATCATTGAAAAAAATGGGGAAGCTTGAAGCTGAGAGACAATAGCTTAGTAACTGGTATAACTGGGGTTGTGGTTCATGCCTGATTATCATACCTAAAAATATGAACAGAAATTCTATAATATAATCAAATACCTAGTATTCACATTTTTCTGATGGCTTTATAATTTTTATAGTTTATTTATTTGCATCAGGTTCCAGTGTCCATACATTGCTCTTGAGAAGACCTCTTTTTAATGGGAAGGAAAAAACAGGCCTATGGAAGAATGATGGAAAAGAACTCACATTCACAGAGGAGAAATATTTGACACATAGTAAATCCCAGAGGCAAAAGAACCTAGGAATGAATGAATCTGAAAAAAATTTATTTCTGAATTCCAACCACAGTGCACATCCAAAATATACTTTTGGTCAAGAGGATGCAACTATCCTTGTCTTTACTTTATTAAAATGCATTAAAAAGCTAAACTAAAAGCAAGGCTAGTGATAAAGCAGAAGACTGCATACTTATAGAAATTTGAGAAAAATTTAAGTGTTCTCATCATTTATAAACTCAATGTTCTATGGGTCTGTATTATACCGCTACAGAAACTTAAGATCATCTATGATGCTTTGATAAAGAAATACTTTCAAAGGTTAAAGCCTTTACCATAAAACTGAAATTGTCTAAAACATAAACAATGACTTAGAGGGTGTGGCAGTCTCAGGGAGGGAGATTATTAACCACTGCACTTCCTTGATCCCCTCTCCCCCCGAGTGCCACATCACTAGCTTTGGCAGCAGAGAAATATCTTATCCAGGACAATGGGTAGGTGCAAATGGCCCTAGTATGCTTCTACAAATACAAAGTAAAGTTCAACGTTAAGTTTTTATTCTGTTCAATATACTATGCTGGTGTGTGATTTTTCTTTTCTTTTTGACTTGGAATTAGGATATAGGACACAAAGAAGAAACCTCCAAGTTGACATCAAATGCTAAAAAACATGAACCTGTCTTAATAACCAACACATAGTTAAAAGGCTCTCTTATTAGAGAAACAGATTAAAAGAAGCATCTAGCAAGTGCTTTTGATTCAAGGCTGACTTGAAGCTATGAAGCTTCAAGTCACAAGAAGTTATCTCTAAAATGGGAGATTCAATATGTAGTCATGCTATTTAAACTTTAGACAAGAGCATAACTCTTTAAAAGAGACTGGTAAGAACTCAGATGCGAGCATGTATTGCTAATTTTTGGAAATCTAGTTAATAATTGGTAAATATGAAGAATTTTAAAGCACAGTTTTTTTTTAAACATAAAGATAAATGATCAGAAGAGTTCCCAGAATCATGTCTAAAGAACAACCAATGTTATAAGACAGAAGCCCCAGTCACCTGGTAGAAATGTGCTAATTTTAGTCATAATACTTGCAAGAAATAAAGTGTTTGGAATGATATCCTGGAAAACCCAAACTTAGCAGTGAAGAGCAAAGTCAAACAATATTAGATTAGAAACAATGACTTCAAGTTACTATTTTACAAATTTTATAGCATCATCTACACTTTGGATGAAAGTGTACACTGAAAGAAAGCAGATTGAACCTGCCTACCAGTTCTTACCTGTGCCTCCATATTTGTCTGCCATGTTAATATCAATGTCAGACTTTAAACTCAGCATAGTCTGAAGGACATCATCACTGCCTTTCCCTGCTGCCCACATAAAGGATGTTCTTCCTTCAAGGTCTGAATCATCTTTCACTGAAGGATGTTTTAAAAACACTTTGACTGTTTCCTGTAAGAATACATTTAAATAATTGAGACAACAGGGTAACATTCTTTATCAGAATAAAGCAACTAATATGTGTGACTTCCACTAAGAAGCAAAGTATTTTCTCCTGCTTTTAAATCAAATGAAATTGTATTTTTATGAATAACAATAATAATCTTCTGTCTGAATATATTAGTTTTCGTTTCAAAGACATAATCTAACACCTTCAGTCAACATCCTCACAATTGAGAATGATCATCTTTAATCAAGTTTACTTTTAAGATCAATGTTAAAAGTGGCAGAAGACTCAAAAGCAGGGCTGGGTGAAATGGCTCGTGTCTGTAATCTTAGCTACTCAGGAGGTGGTGATTGGGAGATCAGCCCAATTGATTGGAGGCCAGCCAGGGGAAAAAAAAAACTTGCAAGACCCCATCTAAACAAACAAACTTGGTATGGTGTGGGTAACTGTGATCCCAGCTACAGGGGAAGCACAGGTAGGAGGATCATGTGGTCTCAGGCCAGCCTGGGCAAAAAAGGGCTTGGGGCTGAAGTGGTCTTGTGCCTGCCTAGCAAGTGTGAGGCCTTGAGTTCAAACCCAGTACTGCCGGGAAAAAAAAAAAAAAAAGACTCAGAAGTATTCAGTGTCATGACAACATAAAAAAAAATTTTCTTTGACACATTTTACATGCAGAGCTCCATATACACAGGCATGCCTCCAGAGAAGGTAAATACATTGTTTCACTGTGTGTTTTAGTACTAAAAATTTTAAAGATGGCTAATGTACTTATTAAATACTGATTGATGGTTGCTGAGAAATGCAGTATTCAATTCATTCAAACAAGTATTTTTTTTATTGTTTTGCTGGGTAGGGGTACATTGTGGCATTTACAAAAGTCCTTACAATGTATCAGATATATCATACTTGAATTCTTCCCCTCCACAATTCTCCTTTTCTCACCCTGTCCCCATTCCTGGAACAGTTTCAATAGGAATCATTTTTCTATTTATGTACAAGAGTACACAGCATTTGTACTATCTTCACCCTCCCACACCCTTTCCCCACATCCTTCCCCCTCCTACAATACTGATACCAAAAAAAATGACATTTTTGTTTGTTTAGTATTACTACACAGGGAGTCTCCTTGTGACATTTCCAAGTATATTGTATCATAACTTGAATTGGTGAATCTCCTCTATTTTTCTTCTTTCTCCCTTAGTCCCCTTCTTATGGTGGTTTCAACAGCTTTAAAAATTCTATATTCATTCTTGTACAGAGAGTACATCAACCATATTCACCTTCTTAACTTCCTTCTTTTACCCTCTCCCTCTTATATGTGACCTCCCCTTAGTGTGACCTGTTTTTCATAGTGTTGCTGTATTTGTATTAGGTCTATATTCCATACATGAGAGAAAACATGCAGTTTCAGGCCTTCTGAACCTGGCTAACTTCACTTAAGATGTTGTTCTTCAGTTCCATCCATTTACCTGCAAACGACAAAATTTCATTCTTTGTGGCTGAATAAAGTTCCACTGTATATAAATACCACATTTTCTTAATCCATTCATCAGTAGTGGGGCATCTTGGCTGTTTCCATAGTTTAGCTATTGTGAATGCTGCAATAAACATGGGTGTGCAGATGCTTTTATTGTAACCTGACTTACATTCCTTTGGATATATCCCTAGGATTGGAATTGCTGGATCATATGGCAGTTCTATTTTTAGTTTAGTTTTTTTTTTTTTTTTAAGGAGCCTCCATACTTTTTTCTATAGTGGTTGTACTAGTTTACATTCCCACCAGCAGTGTATGAGGGCTCCTTTTTCCTCACATCCTCGCCAACCAAACAAGTATTTATTTAGCAATTCCTATATTCAAGATCCTTCCTCTGGAATCATACAAAAATTAGAGTCCTCGACAATTCTAATAAAGCCTGACAATTTTAAAAGGGATTAACAGTCTAGCATTTTAAATTGCTTCCTTTCTCAGAACTTGGATTCTTACAAATTTTAAGGAAGATCAAGAAACCTCTAAAAAGGATATAAAAGAGATTCAAAAAAAAAAATTCTGGAGGCTGTGAGCTGACCAAAAAAATATAAAATGTTGATTCTCAGTATTTTGCAGAACGAAGAAATTCAAGGGCTCATCTAATCCAATCACTCATTTTACAGATGAAGAAATTTAGGCTCAAGGTCATATATAGGGGACAGACATAGGAATAGAAACCAGGGCTCAATCACAGCACTCTTTCCACTGCATCATGTATTGTGTCCAACTAGTTACCCAGGTATAACAGCACAGTGTTCCATAATCTGGTATGTATGCTCATTAAATATATTTGAATGAAGAAACGCACTTAAAAATTTGGTGACTCAAAAAGTGTGCAATTTGTGCACTTTTTGAGTTTCTTCTTTTTTAAAAATTTCTTTTATTCATATGTGCATACAATGTTTGGGTCATTTCTCCCCCCTTCCCCCGACTCCCTTGCCCCCTTCCTTTCCCCCACTCCCCCTTTCTCCCCTTCCACCCCCTCGCTACCAGGCAGAAACTATTTTGCCCTTATCTCTAATTTTGTTGAAGACAGAGTATAAGCAATAATAGGAAGACAAAGGGTTTTTGCTAGTTGAGATAAGGATAGCTATACAGGGAGTTGACTTCACATTGATTTCCTGTGCATGTGTGTTACCTTCTAGGTTAATTCTTCTTGAACTAACCTTTTCTCTAGTTCCTGGTCCCCTTCTCCTATTGGCCTCTGTCACTTTAAAGTTTTTGCATTAGTTCCTTTGCATTGAGGACATCAAATGCTATCTTGTTTTTTTTGGGTTTCTTGCCTATCCTCATACCTCCCTCATATATGCGGACTTTAGATCAAGGCCAAACACAACAAGGGGATGGGACTTTGATCACATGATGAGGTGAGTTTATTTTTTCTTAATGATGAATGTTTATAGGGACTCTCCTTTTCCTTCCCTCCCTTCCCTTTTTTTCCCTCTCTCTCCCCTTCCCTTCCCTTCCCTTTCCTTTCATGCTATTGGGGTTTTGAACTCAGGTCCTTGTGCTTGCTAGGCAGATGCTCTACCACTGGAACCATACCCCAGCCCAGGACTCCCTCCCTCCTTCCTTTCTTCTCTCTATCTCTCTCTCTTTCTTTTTTGGAGACAGGGTCTCATGGCCCAGGCTGGCCGTGAACTCATAATCCTATTGTTTCTCCCTCCCTAGTACTAGAATTACAGATGTGCTTCCATGTGAGTTAGTAGAGGCCAAAAGGATCAAGGGACTTTAAACAGAGCTTAGAACATTTACATAATTATTAAAAATCAACCGTAGAACTGGCAAACTATCTATAGCAAATATTTCTTTGAATAAACATCCATAAAGTTTTATCATTCTTTCTTATTCCCACTAGCATAGGTATTTGATTATTGGTATCTGTACATTTGTTACATTTGGTATCCAAAACTTGGGTTCAAGATTATGGGCAAGTCATTTAATCTCTCAGAATCTTGGCTGTTGTTTTTACCTTGTAAATGAGATGACATGACTTATTTCATAGGTTTGTGCTGAATTATGGATTGAGGTCGCATTTCTGTTGAATAAATAGTCTGTGCCAAGTGTTTTCTTATCTATTTGAGATAATAAAGAGCTCCTTCTCAAAATATTACTCAGAATTTTTCTGAGATGTTGGGAAATAATAGAAGATAATGGTTTGCCAAAACTCTAGGTGATAAATCAAATAAATTTTTAGGACTGCCACGAAGGAAAGATAATAGGTATGTTTGTTCTAGATACCAGAGAGTAGGAAGGGTCTGAAAATAAGATATTTTAGAAATCTGAGTAGTAAGTACTTTTTTGGCAGTACTTGGGTTTGAACTCAGGGCCTCATGTTTGCAATGCAAGCACTCTAACACTTGAGCTGCTCCACCAGCCCACCGTCTGAGCATTCATGCTGATGAGTTAGTATAACCAAACCCTTAGTTTCATTAGGCACTCATGTAGAGTACAGGAAAATCAACTGTGACTCTTTAATGTGTGCCTCTTTACATGAATCTCCGGTTCCTTGTGGTCATTCATACGCAGGAGGTGGAACTAGCCTTGATACTATTTTGTTGCTGGTTGGCTGAATGAATAAGAAGGAGCTTTGTAAACAATAAAGGGCAATAAGGAAAAGAACTATTAATAATATTTGGTGTTTCTGGAAGTAATAATTCATATTTTTGCTTTCTCAGATGTATAAAAATGTATAACTATTAGTACTAGTGGTAAGAATACATTCTTCCCCTACCACACACCAGTACTGGGAATTGAACTTAAGGTCTCACACTTGTTAAAGTAAGCACTCTTTCACTAGGGTCATGCCCCTAGTCCTTTCACTTTTCATTTGTTTTTCAGATAGGGTCTCATGCTAATTTTGCCCTGCTAGCCTCAGAGTATGATCCTCCTACCTCTGCCTCCACAGTAGTTGGGATTACAGTTGTGGCTACCATACTCAGCATATTCTATTTCTTGAATACCTACTCTATGCCAACAACCACAGTAGACACTTGTCATAAATTTTCTCTAATCTTTACACAATCCTGAAAGGAAACATATAATTATCCTCATTCATATATATGAACAAACAAGAGAGGTAATGAAACTTATTCAAGGTCATACAACTAGCAAAGTGCATAGTCAGGATCTAGCCAAGATTTTTCTGGTTTCAAACCCTTGCCACACTGGTTCCAGGACACTGACAGATTATTAAGCACTAAGAAGTACTTAGTGCTATAAAGGTAACAAAATGATGAAGTACATGTACTTATAATTTAAAACACTGTATTTTGAGCATTAAAATAAAAACTGAATAAAACTTCATATGAGATTAACAACTTACAAAAACCTCAGATTATTGTCTGCATCACAGGCAGAGTGAACAGTAGGAACAACTGCTAAACAATAATTGCTCCACAAACACACACAAAGGAGTGCCCATAAAACTGATGATGAAATGTGAATAAGGACAGTGTCAATTTTCTGCTTTTTTTTTTTTTTTTGGTAGACTAGGGTTTGAACTCAGGGCTTTGCACTTGCAAAGGAGTAATTCTACTACTTGAGCTACGCCTCCTGTCCATAGTGTCAACTTTCTGTTTATGATCTTGTACTAGATGTTACCATTAGGGCAATCTGAGAGATCTGTACTATTTCATGCAACTGCACGTAAATCTACAAAATAAAATCAAAATTTTAAAAATCACTAAGAAAAAAGAGGACTGTCTTGTCTTACTTACAGCAAAGTTACTCTGAGCTGCATAGTGCAAAGGTGTTGCTCCTTGGCTGTCAGATGGGATAGTTCCAGACTTATTTCTTTCTAAAAGGAGATGGACAATCTGTGCATGGCCTGGGAACAGACATGACAAGGTAATTATCACATATAAAGTATGTTAATCTTTAATGTATTTAAAAGAAAGGGGTAAGAAAAATGACTAGTATATAATATGGCATTCAAAATAGTTTTTGAATAGTAGCCCCAATGCAGCCTCTTCTTACCTCTTACATCATACTATAATAGGTTAGAACAAAGGTGAAGACTTTGAACACCAAAAACTTAATGCTTCAATCATAAAAGAAATGGCACTGCATATAGTTGTAAGACTGAGGAAAAACTATATCAGATATTACCTGCTTGCTTTTCCTGCCTTCATTTTGTAAAACATCCTGTAACAAAGGAGGGAAGGTGCTTCAAAGCCAGGTCTTTTTAGGCTTAACTGTCCCTTGTCTCAAGGTTCCAAAATCTTTTAGAACCATACAGCCTTCTTATATATTGTTCAGTTGGATAAACTAGAATATAATCTCTTTTCCTCTGAGGCCTCCTGACCACCCCATCTAATCTCTCTCCCTGAGTCTTTGAACATCTTGGCATTTACTTCCAATCCTACCCAAGGGGGCAAGTATGCAGGGCAGTTGTGGGACAATACCCTGTAAAGCAGTTTGGAGGGAGTAGTTTCTACATGGGAAGAACTGCACAAAAGATCAAAGTATAAACAAGCCAAGCATGGTGGTGCATGCCTGCAACCCCAGGACTCAGGAGGCTGAAGCAGGAAGATGGAGTGTTCAAGTCTAGCCTGGGCTACAGAGTTGGTTCCAGGCCAGCCTTGGCTACAAAGTGAGACCCTGCTTCAAAAAATAACAAAAAACAATAGGAAAAGTAAACAAATCTAGTAATAACATATATATAGAAGACCTTCTATTACAAAACTAGGCAATGAAAAAGTAACAGAGCAAATATACACTGAAGAAAAGCCAGGCAGACAGAGGGAATCTAAATGTGAGTTGTGCTCATCTTCTTGCTCTTCCTATGTGGTTTAAGATGGAGTGTCCACAACACACAGATTCCCATGTACTTAATCTAAACATTTTCTTTGAGGAACAAAGAAATAAATTTAGTAGAGACTGTAGGAAAACGTACATGGTCAGAAAGATAAAGAGCATACCTCTGAAATGATCTAAAGAAGGATCCAGAGGAGGAATTCAGCAAACTGGCATCTTCCACTAAGTGTGAAAAGAAATGGCTTCTATGAAACAGAAACAGAATACGCTACGAAGAAAACAGACTGAAATGAAAAGGTAATAGAAGGAGGTAAAAGGAAGTAAGATGAGATAAAAAGAAATATGGATTAGAGAAGGAAATGAAAATACAATCTAAATTACAATCTATATCAAAGGCAGAAAGAAAACAGAATTTATGGAAATGTCAATTTAGTGATATGGAGACAAATTTGCCAAGTATGCCCACATTCTAGAGGAAAAAGAAAAAGGGATGAAAGCACAAATTGAAATAAAGTCTAAATGATAATTGTTAATCTGACCATAAAATCTGATGGCAGCTTCAAAATCATTCTTAAGAGACAAAATGTAATATGCAACCAAGATCAAGGCAGTAATAACTGGGGAAGCCTTCAGATAATACTAAAGTACTGAATGAGTAACAAGCAAAAGTGCTAAATTCTTTGTTTTAAACACGTTGGGGTCAATAGATGAAACTTTGCTTTTGACTGACTGAGGCTTAAAAATGTTTCTAATAAATTTAAAAGTAACCATGAACAGAACCTAAGTCTTTCTAAAATACTAGGTAATTCAAAACCAAGTAATAACAATAAACCTAATCCACATACAAAAACAAAGAAAATAGGAAACTAATTAAGACAAAGTCTGAAATACTAGAAAAAAACCCCATATCTTCTGTCTTTTAACAATGACAATTAAAGTATAGAACTCCTTCACTAAAAGAGAAAAAGTCTCAGATATACCCCTTCCAAAAAATCTGACACACATATCACGTGCACACATATACACTCTCTCATCTAAAAAATGATCCCCAAAGAGGTTACATAAAAGGCAAATATGGAGAAAAAAGTCAAATATCTTGGTATTAACACAAACATAAAAGTAAAGCTCTCCTCCCCAGCTACACTTTTTACTGAAGGTGAAGAGAGGATTATTAACATTCACATGTTGTCAATAAATTTTCATTGCTTTTATTATAAAAGTTAATACATGGTGTTGAAATTAAAACTAATATTTAAAAGAGAGATTTATATTACTAAAATCTAACCAAACAATAGAGACCATTTATAAAATAATCCAACATAACAATTAGAAATTAAGGTAGCTTAATAGGAGGTAGGAGCCAACAGGAAGAAAAGGCCCAGGGATTTTTGCATAATCAGGCAGTTCTTCCTACTGTTGACCCTTTGATTTACAGCCAACTTACCTAGTAAAGCTGCCCAGTGAAGAGGGGTTCGAAATAAGTTGTCATATGATGTTATATTGCAACTTTCATATGAGGTCAAAACATCAACCACTGTTACGTTTCCATCTGCGACCGCAAAGTGAAGTGGCGTGCGACCCTCATAGTCTTGCCAGTTCAGTAAAGACTCCGTTGGAGCAGCATCCTATTTTTAAAGAACCAGAAACTTCAGAGATATGTGCAATGCTCAATAAACTACATTTGGCATACGTACTAACTGAGTGATTTTCTATACCAAACCTCTACATTCCCTTAGGGACAAGTAGAATGATAAATCCTGAAAAAAGTGTACAGTGCCTAATGTGTTTTGTACGTTACAGATTCAGCTAAAGCTGTGTTTTGTACTTTTATTACATATGCATGCATCCACAAACAATACATATATTTTGTATGTGTGTTTTCAATATTTACATTGTGGCAATACATATGTTTATCCTTTGGCAACTTTTTTTCCCAGCACTGTACTTGTGGGTATCGATGTCGATGCTACTGCATTTGTTGAAAAGTATGAACAAACAATAATTTATGTATTCATTCTCTGCCTGAGGGAGGGTTAGGCTATTTCCATTTCTTATGATCACAAATAATGATGCAACGAATGTTTCCTTTACATGTCCCTTGTTGCACATATGTGAGACTTTTCTTTGGGCTAGATACCAAAAGAGGAATTGCTGAGTTGAAGAGTATCTGCATCTTCAGCCTGATATTGTCAAACTGCTCTCTAAATGGCTGTCCCAATTAACACACTGTGACAATGTGAAAAAGGTTTTATTTGTGCCCATGCTGGCACAAATTAATCACTTGGTATTATCAAGCTTACTACATCTTTCCCTTATGAATATGAAAGACAGTTCACAAAGTTTAATCTGTAGTTCTTTCACAAGTGAGGTTAAGATGTGTCTATTGGTGATTTAGCCTTATTTCTTTGCAAACTGACAGATCACATTTATCCATTTTTTCCATTGGATCTTTGTAGCAGACATTATGATGCATTGTTTAGATCTCCTTCAAGACTAAAGGCCTTATTTCCTCAGCTGTGGGACTGCTACCAGCTGACCACCCTCCACTATCAGCCATCTGGAATTGCTTTAGCTAAGGAGCTACCTCACTCAGGATCATGCTCCTTTTCAGGGTAGGTCATACCCAAAGCCAAGCCCACTTGCTTCAGTTTGAGAACTCTCGAGGGCCATCTCAGATTTAGGGCTTCCTGTATAGTCAGCCTACTTTACCAAAAAAAAAAAAAAAAAAATTTAGGTTGTTGACTCTCCCAACCAGTAAGAGGAATAAGAGTAAGAGAAAAATGCCAAGCCCAGTGGCTCACGCCTATAATCCTAGTTATTTAAAAGGAGGAGATCAGGAGGATCCCAGTTTGAGGCCAGCCAGGGCAAAAAGTTTGTGAGACCCCATCTCAAAAAATAAAAAGCTGGGCATGTTAGTACATACCTGTCACTTCAGCTATGCTGGAAGTATAAACAGGAGGATCCCAGTCCAGGCAAAAATTGAGACCCTAGTTGAAAAATAACTAAAGCAAAAAGGACTGGAAGCATGGCTCAAAGAAGTACCAAGCATGAGGCCCTGAATTCAAAACTCAGTACTGCCAAAAAAAAAAAAATAAGGCCAAGTCTGAGAGAAAATAAGATATTATGAGTGAGAATTGCCCCCCAATTCTTCACCATCTGAAGGTCTTCAGATACTGGAATTAATACATGAAGAGTATCAAATAAATAAAAAACATGTAAGAAAATAAAAAATTAAGTGGAAAGTAAGCAAGGACAAAAACAGTCATAATGACAAGACACACTTGAAAAAGAATCAAATAAACAATTTGGATGTGAGAAATATAATTAAGATTAAGCAATCAATGGATCGGGTCAATAACCTATTGGAGTCAGCTAAAGAAAGACTTAGTAAACTGGAAGATGGATCTGTTGTGATCACCCACAATGCGGCAGAGAGATATAGGAAATGGGAATATCAAAGGAAGTTAGCATGGGGAATAAAAGGAAGAGTTCTAAAATATGGTAACTGGAGACCCTAAAGGCAAGGATAGAGAGAATGAAGAAGAAGAAATACAATAATCAGAATGTATACCAAATGGGATTTTAAAAAAGGCCATATCTAGACACACTGTAGTAAAACTGGAGAATGCCAGAGAATGTAAAAGCATTCCTTTATAGACTAATAATAGACTCCTCCAGAGCAGCAATGAGAGGCAGAAAGCAGCAAAAATAATATTCTGAAAGAAAAATAACCTGAAGAATCATGTACACAGAAAAACTTATTTTCTCAAGAGGAAGGTTGAAAGGCAGACGTTCTTAACAATTACAAACACTTCACCAGAGCTGGTGGAGTGGCTCAAGTGGTAAGAGCAACTGCCTAGCATGTGTGAGGCCTTAAGTTCAAACTCCAGTACCATCAAAGGAAAACAAACAAACAAAAAAAACTTTATCACCAATAGATCTATATTTAATGGATGTTCAAAGAATGATACATAAGGAAGTAAGATAACTCTAGAAGGAAATTTTGAAGTTCAAGAAGAAACATAAAGAAATTAGTGACATGCAAGTGAAAATAATCATTGTAAATACAAAAGATAATATATTTCTAAAAGTCTAATTTGCACATAAAAACAAAATAGGACTAAATATTGAACTATCAGAGCATGTAAAGTTGGAACTTGGGACAGAGTAATTAGAAAACCTCAAAAAATCAATTGATAAGTATTCAGAGTTAACAAGGAGTTTTGTAAATTGCTTAGATAAATGAAAAGAAATATAAATTGCACTCCTATACTTGCCACAACCAGTTAAACGTATATCTTAGATATGTTCAAGAGTGCTTTATTTTTTTAACTTTTATTTTTTTTATTATTCATATGTGCATACAATACTTAGGTCATTTCTCCCCCCTGCCCCCAATCCCTCCCTTATCACCCACTACGCCCCCGCCCTCTCCCCCGACCCCCTCAATACCCGGCAGAAACTATTTTGCCCTTATCTCTAATTTTGTTGAAGAGAGAGTATAAGCAATAATAGGAAGGAACAAGGGTTTTTGCTAGTTGAGATAAGGATACCTATACAGGGAGTTGACTCACATTAATTTCCTGTGCATGTGTGTTACCTTCTAGGTTAATTCTTCTTGATCTAACCTTTTCTCTAGTTCCTGGTCCCCTTCTCCTATTGGCCTCAGTTGCTTTTAAGGTATCTGCTTTAGTTTCTCACATATTGTTTTAGTTTCTGCTTATCATGGAAGACTTTTATTGCTCCATCTATTTTGAATGATAGTTTTGCTGGGTAGAGTATCCTGGGTTGAAGTTATTTTCATTCAGTGCCCTGAAGATCTCACCCCACACTTTTCTTGCTTTTAATGTTTCTGTTGAGAAGTCTGCTGCGATTTTGATGGGTTTACCTTTGTATGTTATTTGTTTTTTCTCTCTTACAGCCTTCAATATTCTTTCCCTAGTTTCTGAACTTGTTGTTTTAATGATGATATGTTGTGGGCTAGTTCTGTTTTGATCTGGTCTGTTTGGTGTTCTGGAGGCCTCTTGCATCTGTATGGGACTGTCTTTCTCTAGATTTGGGAAATTTTCTGTTATGATTTTGTTGAATATATTACACATTCCCTTTGCTTGCACCTCTTCTCCTTCTTCGATGCCCATGACTCTCAGGTTTGGTCTTTTGATGGAGTCGGTGAGTTCTTGCATTTTCTTTTCACAGGTCTTGAGTTGTTTAATAGTTCTTTGGTTTTTCCTCTAATTACCATTTCATCTTCGAGTTCTGAGATTCTGTCTTCTGTTCATTCTATTCTGCTGGATTGGCCTTCCATTTTGTTTTTCAATTCTGTTTAGTTCTTTTTTCTGAGGTTTTCCATATCCTGGGTTGTTTCCTCTTTAATGTTGTCTATTTTTGTCCTGAGTTCATTTATCTCTTTATTAATCATGTTTTTTGTTTCACTTTGGTGTTTATACAGTGCTTCTATAGTTTCCTTTATTTCTTCTTTTGTTTTTTCAAATTCTCTATTTTCGTTGTCTTGGAATTTCGTGAGCATCTCCTGTACATTTTGGTTGACCATATCAGTATCATCTCTATAAAATTCTCATTGAGTACCTGTAGTATGTCTTCTTTTAAATTATTCTTTTGGGCTTCATTGGGTTCTCTGGCATAGTTTATCTTCATTTTGTTGGAGTCTGGATCTGAGTATCTGTTTTCTTCATTTCCCTCTGGTTCCTGTACTAATTTTTTGCTGTGGGGAAACTGGTTTCCCTGCTTTTTCTGTCTTCCCGTCATTGCCCTTGGTGTTGTTATTGTCCCTGTACTGTGTGCAATTAAGTATTTTCTGGCTTGTAATAATAGCACTAGTGATATTTAGAATGGAAGGGTGAGCGTGGATGAAAAGCAAAGAAGTTAAAGGAAAATGAAAAAACAAATAATCAAGTAAAAAAAAAACAAAGAAACAAACAAAAAAGTTTCAAAGATATAAACAGGGACAGACTGTGCTAGTCAACTGTAGGCTGAAAAGGCATTAGAGAGACAGAGAGAGGACTGAAAATAAAAAATAAAAAGAATAAAGATAAGAATAAAATAAGAAGTAAATGAAAGAAAAAATATATATAAAAATAAAATAAAAAATAAAAAATAAATTAAGAGGAAAAAAAAAACCCTCCAAGTTCAAATGCAATGAAGTTTCAGTCTTAATAATTTTGGTGTTTGTCCCTCAGCCTCCAATCTGTAGATGGTGCCTCAGATGTTGTTCTGTAGTTGTCTCATCAAAGGGGAAACATAAAATAGAACAAAACTGCACAAAACAAAACAAACAAACAAAAAACCCACAAAATGTCCCTAGTTCAAATGCAATACAGTTTCAGTAAGTTTTTCAGCATGCAGGTGTAGTTCGGTTGTTTTCTCATCTAAGGTAGGGAGAGAGAAAAAAAAGAGTCTGGAGACAGTTCTGAGAATGGTATCTGCAGCTGTGGCTTGCCTGCCTGCTGCTGTCAGCCTGCTGTTGCTGGAGGCGTTATTTATGCAGATCTCTGGGGTGAGCTTAGCACTCACCTGGCCCCGCAGACTTTGTTTACTCAGAGTTCTCCTTTCCAAGCACACTGGGGGAGATGACACTGCACCCACCTTCTCAGGCCTGTGTGTTTATTTACAGTTCACGTGGGAAGTGGGTCTTCCCCCCTCTTCTGTGGAGTTTTCTTCCCACCTCTGCTTTTACAAGCTTTCCCGCTCCTGGTTGCTGGGCGTGCACCACCGCTCCCACCTTCTCCGGCCAGGCCTGGCTTGTTTATTTACAGTTCCAGGAGGGATTCCCCTCCCCACCTCTTCGGTGCTCAGGGCGCCCCACCCTCTTTGCTATGTGTCTTTATTGTTCTTATTGCTTATTACTCAGGTTCTCTTTTTTCCCCGGGTAGGGGTTGGTCTGTTCAGGGGGCTATGCTGATCTGGCTCAGGGTTGTCTGTGGAAGTACCACGTACCACTTAGTGTTCAAGAGTGCTTAAAGCAGCAATGTGTGAATATAGGAGAAAACTGGACATAGTCCAAATATCTCTCTCAATAACAAAATAACAATGTATGGCTTATTTGTAAAATGGAATACTATATAGCAGTAAAGTTAATAAATTACAACTACACACAGTTACATAAAGTTAAACAACACAAGGTTGAGCAAGAAAACATTCCAAAAGAATACATAAAATGTGGTTCCACGCATATAAAATTCAAATATGTAAAAAATGAAACAAGACATCATTTATGGAACAAATACAGGAGATAAATTGTAATGAAATCAGTAGCAGCCAAATCAAGCATGGTGGTACATGCCTGTAATCCTAGCACTGTGGAGGCTGTAGCAAGAAGATCTCAAATTTGAGGCTAGCCTGGACTACATAGTGAGACTCTATCTCAAAAAAACAAACAAAAATCAGTAGATGCTATATAAAATTGAAAACAATGTTTGCCTCTGAGGAAGGAGAGAATAAAAAAATTCAAATAGAATGGTTCTGGAAGGTACTCAGAACTTCCACTGTATCATGATAATGTATCTTTTCTTAAACTCAGTGCTGAGTCCATGAATTTGTTGTTTCCTTATTTTTTTATATTGCACATGCATTCCACTGGTACTCACATACATCTATTCACTATTTAACAAAATCAAGCATAAAACAGGGAATGATACATATAAATTCAGGAAAGTTGACGGAGGACAGGAATGAGAATGGTGCAGGAGGAATGTATTTGGGAACTGGAACAGAGGAAACGTCTGTATGATCTTAAATAGTGTTACTGAAATATCCTATTTCTTGGGAGATGGGCTCACATGTTTATTTTATTCTTTTGCTTCATAACCTGCTTGTGTGTTGCATATATTCTGTACATACTGGATATCTTACAATACTTTCTTTTCTATAAAAAGCCATTCAGGTTTAGCGGCACCATCCTACTCACCAGAATGCATCTCACTGTATGAACGGCACTTGGATCTTTATGGTTGGCTGCCCAGTGGAGTGGGATCTTGCCTTCAACATCAGGAATCCCAATGTTGGAGTCATGCTTGATAAGCAGTTTCACGTGCTCAGGGTTGTTGTAGTAGGCACTCCAGTGAAGAGCTGTTTGCTGCAAGGTTGAGGGGATCTCAAAATAAGAACTTTTCCCAAACTTTAATTATGTGAGAGGTACTGTTGTAAGAGTTCTATATCTACATCACACAGTTAATGTGACACCTCTGGGAGACAGGTATCTTTTTAATTTGCATGTGACTGATGAGAAAGTGAGCACAAGAAGGATGTAATCTACTCAAGGACATTAAAGTAGTATGTGGCTGCATTAAGACTTCAAGTGTAGCTCCAGAACCTGACCTCTTAATCATTTAGTTCATCAAGTACTACTAATAAAAATGAGAAGAAAGATAAAAGCAGATCAATAATTTGTGAATAATTACCAACCAAGCAAGTCATGTTCTTGATATTACACATCTGGAATTGGACTCAGGCCTTCACACTTGCAAGGCATGCACTCTACCTCTTCAGCCACTCTGCTAACCCTTTTTGCTCTAGTTATTTTGAGTATAGGGTCTCATTTTTTTTTTTTTGGTCTGGACAAGCATGATCCTCCTATTTATGGTTCCCACAGCAGCTGGGATGACAGGCACATGCCACCATGCTAGCCTTTTCTGTTGACATTGGGTCAACAGGTTTTGGCCTTGAACCGTGATCTTCTTGATTTCTACCGATGCATGGCCAATTTTAACTATTTTTAAGTATACAACTCAGCGGCATGAAGTATATGCATACTGTTGGCAACCATCACTACTACCCACCTCCAGAACTTTTTCATCTTCCAAAAATAACTGTACCCATTTCACAATAGTTAGCTACATGTTCTCACCTTCTGCCAGATCCTGGCAATCTTCATTCTACTTTCTGTCTCAATGACTTTGATCATCCTAGGTCTTTATAAGTGGAATCATATATTTGTTAATTTGTGTCTGACTTATTTGATTCAGCATGTTTCTTCAAAGTTTATCCATGCTGTAGCATATGTCAGAATTTCATTCCTTTTTAAAGCTAACATTCCATTGTGTTTCTGGATCCTACATTTTGGTTATCCAGTTATCCATCAGTGGACATAGAGTTGTTTCCATCTTTTGGCTTTTGTGGAAAATGCTGCTACAGAACATGGATGCACAAATATTGTTTTGAGTTTCTTGTTTCAGTTCTTTTGGGCATGTATTTAGAGATAGAACTGCTTGGGTCAGTGGTAATTTTGTATCTAATATTTTAGGAATTACCAAGCTGTTTTCATAGCAGCTAAACCATTTCACACTTCCACCAGTATGGCTTAATTTCTCCACATCCTTTCAACATTTGTTATTTTCTGTTTTTGTGAGAATCATGACTCTAAAGGATGTTAGCTCACTGTTTTTGTATGTTTGTTTTGCATTGCTGTGGCTCAAACCCAGGGTCTTGCACATGCAAGTATAGGCAAGTACTTGTACTTGTCACTTGGTTACATCTCCTGCACACTTGCCTTTTTTTTTTTTTTGAAAAGTCTCCTTGTATAGCCCAGGCTGGCCTTGAACTTCTGGTCACCTTCCCTTAGCCTCTGGAGTGTTATGATTACAGGTGTGGACCACCACACCCAGCCTCACTGTGGCCTTAATTTGCATTTCCCTAATGAACGGTGATGCTGAACATCATCTCATGATTCTCGGCCACTTGTATATCTTCTTTGAAGAAATGTCAAGTTCTTTCACAATTTTTATTTATTTTTAAAGTAAGTTATAAAAATCAATCTGTGACAGGTTAGAGATTAAAAAAACAAACAAAACTGATCCTTTACCACAGATAGTTTGATAGTCACTCCTTAAGGGTCTTGTTCTCTTCTTTGTGCCTTCTGGACTGTGCAGCTCTGTTTACATCTGCCTAAACTAGATAACCTCCCATCCCTGTTCAACACCAAAGAACATACAAATACTAGAAGACCACAGGAAGTCCCCAGAATGAATTGGGGAAGACATTATAAAGCTTCAAGAGATGGGAAGCTTCTTAGGTGATTAAGGGATCCTGATGGACTGATCAAAGTGCTTTTTATAGTGAAATATTAGCACTACAAATGCCATGAATTAGAAATAATATTCCTGCACAGTTGTAAAGTAAAAGTTGACCTCAAAACTTAATATGATTATTAAGCAAAATCTGAAAACTATACAGAGAACACTGTAAGAGTGAAACAATTACTGATTATAAATCCAGTGGATTTAATCACAAATTTTAATTGCATAGGAGCATGTAACAAGACTCTATGACTAAGTGCCTGGTGGAAAGGAAGAGGATTATTACTCTAGTCTAATGAAAGACCACTTTTTTCCCCTATAAAGAATAAGAGCATCAATATGTACAATATGTTAAAATTTGAGAGCAGGGAAGATAATGAATTTTAGCAATAAATGCTAGAGCATACCATGAACTGGGAATCATGCTATGCAATTTGAATTATCTCATTTTATCTTCAATAGTCTCATCTCATTATCTCTTGGATCTTGGGCAAAATTTTAATCTTCCTGAACTTCAGCTTCCCCATCAATACAAAGGAGGTGCTACAACCTACCATGTGGTGGCCAGGATAAAATGACAAAATCTAGGTGAAATACTACCCTGGAATGTTTAGAGCTGTTCTATCACATGAGTGGTAAGGCAGGCCTACTTTCTTGAGGTTTTACACAATGAAAGAAAGCATTTGTTTTCTGTTCTCCTTCGTCTTTGACGTTGATGGTCTACTACCTTGTTTTTATCTTGTGTATCCACTTCCCCTGGTGCCATAAACTTCAACAGAAGTGCCAAGCACTTAGGGCTCTTGTGCCGGGTGGTCAAGTGCAAAGGTGTCATCTCTTCTAGATCCTTTTGCATCCAGTTCGCTCTGCGTGTAAGTAAGAGTTTCATGAAACGGTAATTTCCCTAAATAAAAGAGAGAGAGAGAATAAGAAATTTAGTAAGGGCCATTTTTTTTAAAAAACTTTTAAATATTTTGAGTATCTCCTATAGTATAACACTCAGAGAAATTAATAAAAGAAAAAACACTTATAATAGCACTACACTAAGGTAGTAATTACTTTTTTCCTGTTTATTTCCAGTCAACCACTTTTTAATACAAGTATAATACACAGTGTTTAATCAGTATTTTATGGACTAAGGCAACATGTTTTATTTGAACTAGTCTATTATTGCTAGTTACTTAGAATGCTTCTATTATATTCTGTTATAGACAATATCTCAATGTATACTATCTTTTTTTTAACATAGTATTTTTTCCTTAACTTTTTCATAATAAATTATCAGGAATCAAATTGCTGGGTCAAATTGCTGGGTCACAGTATTTGGTGTATTTTCTAAATTGCCATCTAGTAGCAGCAATGTGTGGGTGTACTCGTTTCAGCACATTCTGATCAATATAGTTCCTATTATTTATATTCAATAATAGGAAATAAGCAGAGATGTTAAATCTCAATTCACAGGTGAGGGAATTGAGATTCAAAGGAGTAAAATATTTTGTATACTGTCCTCTGGTTAATACAGTCCTCTGGTTAATTCAGAACAGGGTTGGTTTTCTTGAAGAGCTACTTAAAAATACATCTAAAGAAACAGCTTATTCAAATTGTTACAGGAGTTTTGGACCAGGCCCAAACTCCAGTGTTTCATATGTCAGGTCTGACCACTTCCCTAATATGCCAAATAAGAGACAAGTAATGGTGGAGGTCAGAGAAAGAAATTTAATTAATGTGGCACCAGTACACCACTGGAAGAGGAAAGGTGGGCATTTAACCCATCTTCCTAGTGTAGACATTTGCTTTAGGTTTAAATAGAGAAAGGACTAGGGCAGGAAAAGAGGTATGTATAATTATCATGCAGTCCCAGTCACAGGTGTGTTCTGGTGGGCATAGGTAGTGGCCACAGGTGGTCCAATTGGTCAGGTGGGACCTTGTTATAATGAGACATTGCCTAGTAGGTGGTCTGTCTTGCAGAAGCCCTGATGTTCCTTTTCTTAGGGATTGTTTCCATTACAAATATGTTATCAATTAGTTCTCCTCTTCCTGGAACCCTGATGTGATTACAGGGGAGTAAGTCAGTGAAGGAAAGAGATACAAAATGGATGCCAGGATACCAAACTTTTATGCTTTCAGTTAATTTGTGAGTCTAAGGAGGAGTTAGTGTTTTTTAGCAAAGTGTTTAAGCATGTGTCACAAAAGTTTGTAATCCAGATTCAAATGGGCACCTGAACTCCAGCCCAGATGTCATTGTAGACCATCCACTTGCAGGCAAAATTCGGCACATCAATTCAATCTTCCAGTTGGGTAGAATCAACCCACTTGGAGAAAGAAACTTAGGTACAAGAGCTAGAGCAATACAATGTTGGGCATCCAGACCAATGATTACCTAGTAAGTCTGCATAATATGAGGACTTTAAAACAAAACAAAACTCAAAATAGAGTTCTTTTGTGCTAATTTCCTGAGAGCTAATTCCTTTATTACAATTCTAGTTGGAGACTTGAACATGCTTGGCACCACAGATACTTCAAGGCCAACATGACCAAACAGTGTTGCAATGGTCAAGTCTCTGTCTACTTCATCCCTGTTTGTCTCTCCCTACTCAAAACACAGGGGCAGGCAGGATAACCTGTCTTTTTCATCTTCTCACACCCTTCACTTTGTTGGAAGAGGGGCCTTCCTGCACCATGATGCATTGAGAGGCTATCAAGGGTAGCAAGGAAGACATTCGTTAATCAAGGAGGTAACCTGGGTGAAGAATGTGAGACTTTAAGGTAAAGGGGACTGGCTTAAGCAACAATGAGGTGCAGAAGGATGAAGACTTGCCTGCTTGCAAATAGGGGCAGAGACAGGATGAACTGACCTTACAGGCTGGGGGAGAAATAAGGAAAGGAAAGATGGAGGCTAGGACTGAGGGGTCATAACATTGTCTACATTAGACATGTAGTCCTGGAATGGACTGAAAGGCAAATTGACTAGGCTTTATTATTTCCTCTCAGGCAGACTTTTCCTGAAAATACTAAGCAGAAGTTATTTCGTTATTCTTTATTCTGTACCCTTCCATTTCCTTCACAGTACTTCCCTCAGTTTGTAGTTTGTAGTCACATATGATTCCTTTTTTTAAGTTCATTTATTCAAATGTGCATACATTATTTGGGTCATTTCTGCTCCCTGCTCCCGCCCCCACCCGCTCCTCCCCACCCCCCCACCTTGCATCCAGGCAGAAGCTGTTCTGCCCTTATTTCTAATTTTGTTGAAGAAAAGACATAAGCATAATAAGAAAAAGCATTTTTGCTAGTTGACTTAAGGATAGCTATACAGAAAGATTCCTAGCATTGCTTTCGTGTACAAATGTGTAACAACCCAAGTTGATTCATCTCTAACTAATCTTTACACTGGTTCCTGATCCCCTTCTTGTGTTGACCTCTGTCACTTTAGGGTTTCTGTATTAGTTCCTCTGGAGTGGGGACATCAAATGCTTTCATGTTTCGGGTTTTCTACCTATCTCCATACCTCCGGTATGTGCTCGTCCCTTATCATGTGACCCAAGTCTAACCACGTTGCTGTATTTGTCCTAGATCTAAAGTCTGCATATGAGGGAGAACATATGAGTTTTGGTCTTCTAAATTTTTTTTGGCCCTTACTAAATTTAGCCTGGCTTACCTTGCTCAGAATAATGTTCTCCAGTTCCATCCATTTACTTGCAAATGATAAGATTTCATTCTTCATATTGTCTGCAAATAAGGATATTTTGACAGTTTCTTTACCTATTTGTATTCCTTTTATTCCTTCTTCTTGGCTAATTGCTCTGGCTAGGAGTTCCAGTACTATGTTGAATAGGAGTGGGGATAGTGGGCACCCTTGTCTCATTCCTGATTTTAGGGGAAATGGTTTCAGTTTTTCATCATTAAGTCTGATGTTGGCTGTAGGTTTGTCATATATAGCCTTTACAATGTTGAGGTACATTCCTTCTATTCCTAGTTTTCTTAGAGCTTTTATCATGAAGTAGTGTTGGATCTTGTTGAAGTCTTTTTCTGCATCTATTGAGATGATCAAGTGGTTTTAGTCTTTGCTTCTATTAATGTGCTGTATTATATTTATAGATTTGTGTAGGTTGAGCCACCCCTGCATCCCTGGGATGAAGCTGACTTGGTCATGGTGGATGATCTTTCCGATGTGTTGTTAGATTCGGTTTCCCATTATTTTGTTGAGGATTTTTGCATCGCTGTTCATTAAGGAGATTGGCCTATAGTTCTCCTTTTTGAAGATGTCTTTGTCTGGTTTTGAGATGAGAGTAATGTTGGCTTCATAAAATGAGTTGGGCAGTGTTCCTTCCCTTTCTATTTCGTGGAATGGTTTAAGGAGGGTTGGTATTAGTTCTTCTTTAAAGGTCTGATAGAATTCAGCAGAGAATCCATCAGGTCCTGGACTTTTCTTTTTAGGGAGACTCTTGATTGCTGCTTCAATTTCATTTTGTGTTATAGATCTATTCAGGTGATTAATTTCCTCTTGGTTCAATTTTGGCTGGTCGTAAGTATCTGGAAATCTGCACATTTCTTCATGATTTTCAAATTTATTAGAATATAGGTTCTCAAAGTAGTCTCTGATGATTTCCTGGATTTCCATGGTGTTTGCTGTTATCTCCCCTTTTGCATTCCTGATTTTACTGATTTGGGTTTTTTCTCTCCTCATTTTAGTCAGGTTTTCTAGTGGTCTGTCAATCCTATTTATTTTTTCAAAGAACCAGCTTTTTGTTTCATTGATTCTTTGTATGTTTTTTTTTGTTTGTTTGTATTTCATTGATTTCAGTCCTTATTTTTATTATTTCTCTCCTTCTATTTGTTTTGGGATTTGCTTGTTCTTGTTTTTCTAGGAGTTTGAGATGTAGCATCAGGTCATTGATTTGAGATCTTTCTGACATTTTAATGTATGCACTCATGGCTATAAACTTTCCTCTTGGGACTGTCTTTGCTGTATCCCATAGTTTCCAATAGGTCATGTTTTCATTTTCATTAAATTCCAGGAAGCTTTTAATTTCTTATTTTATTTCATCAATGATCCATTGGTCATTGAGCAATGTGTTGTTCAGCTTCCAATTGTTTGCATGTTTTTACTGTTGCTTTTGTTGTTCAGTTCTAGTTTTAATGCATTGTGATTAGATAGAATGCATGGAATTATTTCTATTTTCTTATATTTGCTGAGGCTTGCTTTGTGCCCTAAGGTATGATCAATTTTGGAGAAGGTTCTGTGAGCTGCTGAGAAGAATGTATATTGTGTGGAAGTTAGATGAAATATTCTGTAGCCATCAGCTAAGTCCATCCATTTGATCTATGGTGTGATTTAGTTCTAGAATTTCTTTATTGACTTTTTGTTTGGATGACCTATCTATTGATGATAATGGGGTGTTAAAGTCTCCCATTACCACTGTGTTGGAGTCTATTTATGTTTTTAGGTACTTCAGAGTATGTTTGATGAAATTGGGTGCATTGATGTTGGGTCCATATAGGTTGATAATTATTATTTCCTTTTGGTGTATTTCTCCTTTTATTAGTATGGAGTATCCTTCTTTATCTTGTTTGATCAATGTAAGTTTCAAGTCTATTTTGTCTGAGATAAGTATTGCTACCCCTGCCTGTTTTCGGGGGCCACTGGCTTGGTAAATCTTCTCCCAGCCTTTCACCCTCAGCCAGTGCTTGTTTCTGTTGATGAGGTGGGTCTCCTGTAGGCAGCAGGTTGGATCTTCCTTTTTAATCCAGTTTGCCAAATGGTGTCTTTTGATGGGGGAATTAAGTCCATTAACATTCATTGTTAACATTGATAGGTATGTGTTGATTTCTGTCATTTAGCTGTCTTTGTTGTTTAAGGTTTGATTGTGTGTACCTGAATCAATGTTACTCTCTACTTGCTTGCCT